TTTTTTTTTTTTTTTTTTTTTTTTTTAAAGAAAATACCTCTCTCCACAGAAGCACTGCAGAAGCAGGGTGGTACTGCTTCTTGTTATGTCAGCATCCTGGATTTAAATAGAGACAGCACTATAACAGACCAACCTCTGGGAAGGGGCCATGGTCACAAGCAGCGCAACACTATGGATTGAAGTAGCAGTTACTACAGTTTCAACTACTGCTAGGAACAGGTGTTAAATGTTTGTTTAATTTAGCAGTCCAGAAGGGCAGAGCTTCCCTGCATGTGAGAGAGGTGAAGCAGCTAAGCCTAGGGGTATGGAGGAGGCACATCAGAAGGTTTGGGATAACTTGTATGGGAAACAGGAACTAGGTATGGTGCTGTGTGGGACAGGGAGAATGCCACACTACATGCACAAACTAAATTGGTGCATACTTTCATTTGGAACAAGTACTAGGCTGGGAAAAGGAAGCAGCAGGTAAGGTAAATGCAGGGTACTGCAGAATTAATCTCACGATCCTGCTGCCAAGACTGCCAGGATTTTCAGTTTGTTTGTTTGTTTGAAGGAAAGAAAGCTGTTCATTACTCTGCCAGTTTCCAATGGGTACTCTCTGCCTCATCACTAATTAATGTCTCCAATGTGTCTCTGGAGTTTCTTGGCTTTACTACTTAAAACAGTCCTTATAATGATCATCTTTTTGTTTGTCTCAAGTTCTACAGCACCTGATGCCTTACCCCCACAAGCCACTCAAACTATCGTTGCTCTTTCTGCTGCTTTAACTAAACCTGTATATTCAGCTAGCATTTTCTCTCTAGCCTTGATTTTCAATGTAGAATCTTTATTGTTTTCATATACCAGTGGAGCCTTAAGAAGCATCGTCAGCCACTTCTTCCTGCCCCCAGTATTCTTCTTTCAGTAGAAAACTCAGGTTTCTTTTCTCTTCCCAACTATATATGCATTTTTTCTCCTCCTCTCCAATACCTTCAAACAGCTGTTTGATTGAGCTATTCCTGCACAACTGAAGTTTAAGAGTCTCATGGTCAGCACAGCATCCCTACTTCACTTACATTCACAAATAATGCCTCCCTAGCAGTAAGAAGATGATCAAAGAGGGTTTTCTCTTCTAGCTAAATTATCTACTTTCAGGCTCATAAAAATTGCCTTTTTATTTAACTTGAAGAGGGGTTAGGAACCATATGTTAGAGTGCTTCCAAGTCAACAGTTGTCCAAGTGCTTAAAATCCACATGACTATTTTCCAGTGATTCTGGACTCCATGGAAGTTGACAATTTTTTTTTGTTCTTGTTTTCTTCTAGAAGTTCAATTTTACCATTTCTTTTGCCCTTCATAAAGTAGCTCACCACCACCTTCTTCACATTAAAGTAGTTTCTTAAATTTATAGAGCCACCTTCTCTCTCTCACTGACAGGATCATTCACTGGAATATTATGTTTCAGTTTCATCCACTAGATAATATTCTCCTTTGATTAAATAAAGCCTCTCTTTTCACTTAGTTGTATTTCCCTTTCTACGTCTTTCTAGCCCTGACAGATTTGAACTGAAGAGACTGGAATCCCACTGGCTGTGCTGAAGACTGTCTACTCATCACAAAAGGGATGGCAATGCTCAGAAGACCCAGCGCTGCTTCTTTTTAAATGATCCAAGGTTAAGACGCCCTATGTTGACCTGGCTGCAGCTGTCTTCCAAAGATCCTAAAAGAATCTTCTTTGATAGCAGCTCTTTCCTTCTGTCACTAGTTCTTCCATAAGCTACATTAAGTGGAAATTCCCTGGCTTTCCTCAAGCTACCATTAGCCCTTGTCAGCACATTTCATATTCTGGCACTGGGGAGGTAGCACATCATCCTTCTCTCTTTTTCAGGAATTAGACAACCTAGCTATGCTCTTTGCTACCAAATTGCTCATCAAGTTTACTTGTCTCCTTCTGCGCCTCTGGTGACTCCTTTTCAACTGTTAGTGAAACTACTGCCTAGTTCTCAGCTTCCTCCCTGTCTGTCCATCCCACTATAAATCAAGAACCTCTATCATTTCTGTCAAAGCCCAATGACCCTGAAGGCATCAAGTCTTCCCATATACGTTTCTTCCACATTCTTCCCTTTGGGGTCTCCACCTATCAAATCTCTCCTTGCAGTTCCCTTTAACACAGTCCAATACATGTTTTTCCCCACTTTCAGCAGTTCCAGCAACTCCAAGTCCCTCTAAAGGAAGAGGCTCCATACCACATGCATGTTTAACTCATGACAAAGCCAAAAAGGGAAAAACAAAGAACAGGTTGAGGAATAACCTCTACTTGACAGGCTCTCAGTCTCTTTCTACCAAACTATTCTAGCGTACCAGTTTTAGCTAATGGGTCATAGATGTGACCAACCGAAGTTTCACCTAGCTCCATCAGCAGCAAAGTATACCGAATTCTCCCATACAATCCCAACCCATCTAAAGATGAGCACCTATAACATAGGACTAGCTACTACTAGAACAATACACCAAAAATACAACCTGAAATTAGACATATCTGTAGTTTCTACCCCACAAGATTATATTGTCAAGGTAAAAGAAAGGCCCCAGGCCTACAAGGCCTCAAGCAATGCTAATACATTTCAATTCCTATGAAGACTTCCCTCTGTTATTGGCAATGCATGCTCAAACACAGAGGATAAGTCCTCTATAAACACACCTTTAGCTCAGCTCACAGCAGTAGGTTTTCAAAAACAGAGATGACAAAATGCTCCAGGACGTGACCACCAAAATACTTCTGATCTAAGTATTTGGGATCCTTCCAGGACTCTATCCTGCCTCACTTCAAGTTAACGTCTGCATCACGACTGACATTTATTTCATAACTCAGGAATAAGAACCGAGATAAGCACCTTCAAAATGTGTGGAAAATAAAATTCCAGTCATGGTTCTCCTGTTAATCAAGCAGGGTGATGGGAAGAATGGTAGAACAGAACACTAACCTCTGGCTGACAGCTTTTTGGTGTTGATGATTTTTGCAGCATATTCTTGGGTTGAGCTCTTCTTTACACATCTGCGAACCACAGAGAAGGCTCCCCTAGGAAAAAACAAAAAAGATGCTGGGTGCTGTCAAGTAAAAAATGAAAATCCAACATGCAATTTCCATCCCTCCCAACCAACATGCACAGGAGTAAATGCTGGTAAAAACAAGTACAGGGGAGGCAATAGGTGAGAGCCAGTTAAAAATGCTGTCTACGTTCACAAATAAAGGCTGAGAAGAATACACCCAAGTGCCTGCCTCAAGACTCCACGGGGCCTTGATACCCACAAGAACAAAACAGCTCTAATTTCTCCTTGGTTGCAGGGGGTAGAGTGTGGAAACCACATAGGGACCAAACAGAGAAAGAAAAGCAGCCAAGAAGGCTGAAAAAAACCAGCATCCTCTGAACAGAGCTGACCCTGCAGTTGGTTAGACAGCTAAGAAACACTTCTCCAAGGTCCTGGTCTCAGGCCCTGCCACTGAACCACTAAAACACCTTGGACAAGTCACCAGGAAAAGGAAGAGGGGGGGATACAAACCTAGGACACAGGTGTTAGGAGCCAGGGAAGACTACTCTTTGTTAACATTTTACAAGTAGGAATCAGGGTAATTAGTACAACTGTTACCAAGGGCTAAGGGGGGGCAGGGGAGAGCTCCAAGAAAGGAAGTAGAGAAAGAAGGAAGGACTCCAAGCAGAAAGGAGATAAGATGGGAGAGGGAGGTGCAAGGAAAGATGCCTTCAGCTCTAAAGGCCAGTGGGGAACCTGGAGACCGGGTACAGGACAGAGAGATGAACTCAGCATGGGGCAAAGAATGAATCAGGGAAACCTGACAGGGAAGCAGCCCAGCCTTTGAGAAGGAAACTGGGTCCCTCCAGGCTGTCGAGGACTCTGCAGGTTGGCAAAAGAAATTACGCAGAGAAAGAGCCAGGCAGGAGCCCACAGGAAACCGGAGCTGACAGAAAGCACCGGGTCCCTCCCTGCACCGCAGAGCCCGCTCACGCCCCGCATCCCTCCTAGCCCCCCAGGCAAACCAGCGAGGCTCGGCCGCGCGGGGCTGCAGCAGCGCCTGGAGGACCGGCCGGGGCCGGGTCGCAGCAGCAGCAGCAAAGCCTGGGGACCGGCGCGGGAAGGGAGCGCGGCAGCCCGCAGGGAAGCAGCAACTTCCCGTTCCCCCCGATACCTCAGCGCCCGCGGGCTGCCGCAGCGGGGCTGCGCGTGAGCGGGGGGCAGCGCCTGGTCCCGATGCGGGGGCGCGCCTAGAGGCGACACTGGG